GTAGAACTTCTTCCACTGAAGTCGTGAACCCTACCAAACCGTCCATGAGGGTTGCAATCAACTGCTGCTCAACTCTCTTAGTGTTGATATTTTGACCTTCTATGAATCAGATGGTCTTACTGGTGGATCCTTTCCAGAAGGTTTTTAATTTGCCCAGATCCATTAGAGGAATCACCATCTATAGTAGCTATAGCCTTAAAAAATGTATTTCTTTCTTTCTTTTTCTTTTGGCTGGGGCTGGAAAAAATGTATTGCTTAAATAAAAAGTCTTGAAAGTAAAAATTCCTCCTTGATCCATGGGCTGCAGAATGGATGCTATGTTAGTAAGTATGAAAACAACATTTATCTCCTTGTACATCTCCATCAGAGCTCTTGGGTGACCAGTAGTATTTTGAAAGGAATTTTTTTTTTTTTTTTTCTGAGCCGTAGATCTTAACAATGGGCTTAAAATATTTAGTAAGCCATCCTATACACAGATGTGCTATCAAGGCTTTGTTGTTCCATTCGTAGAGCACAGGCAGAATAGATTTAGCATAACTATTAAGGACCCTAGGATTTTCAAAATACTAAGTGAGCATTGGCTTCAATTTAAAGTCACCAGCTGCATTAGCCTCTAACAAGAAACTCAACTTGTCTTTTAAAGTTTAAAGGCCAGGCATTGACTCCTCCTCCCTAGCTATGAAATCCCTAGATGGCATTTCCTTCCAATCAAAGGCTATTTTGTCTACAGTGAAAATCTGTTCTTGGGTGCAGCCACCATCATTAATTACCTTAACTAGATCTTTTGGTTAACTTGCTACAGATTCTCCATTAACACTTGATGCTTCAGTTTGCATTGTTAAGTTATAGAGTTGGTTTCTTTTCTTTAATCTTATAAAGCAATCTCTGCTAGCTTCAAACTTTCTTTTGCAAGTTCCTCACCTCTCTCAGCTTCAGAATTGAAGAAAGTTAGAGTCTTTTTCTGGATTAGGCTTTGGCATAAGGAAATGTTGTGGCTGATTTGATCTTCTATCCAGACTACCAACACTTTCTTCACATTATCTGACAGTTTTGCTTTTGTACCATTTGTGTGTTTCCCGAAGCAGCTGTTTTATTGTCCTTCAAGAACATTTCCTTTGCATTCACCTGGCTTACTGTTTGGTACAAGAGGCCTGGCTTTTGGTCTGTCTCAGTTTTTGATATCCCTTCCTCACTAAGCTTAATCATTTCTAGCTTTTGATCTAAAGTGAGAGATGCGTGACTCTTCCTTTCAATGGAGCATTTAGAGGCCATTGCAGAGATACTAATTGGCCTAATTTCCATATTGCTGGGACTCAAGGAATGGGGGAGAGGGTCTGAGAAGAAGGAAGGAGATGGTGACATGGCCAGTGGAAGAGCAATAGCATTTGAGCACGGTTCATGGTGACCCACAAAACAACTATAATAGTAACATCAATGATCACAAATTATCATAAAATATAATAATTTTTAAAGGTTTAAAATATTGTGCGAACTACCAAAAAAGTGACACAGAAACATGAAGTGAACACATGCTGTTGAAAAGTTGCACCAATAAGCTTGCCTGAAGCCGAATTGCCACAAACTTCCAAAGCACAGTGTCTGCAAAGCACAAAGAAGCAACACACACCTGCAACTGCCATGCCTGAGCATGGGGTGCTTATCTCTACATCTGAGCATGCTTTTGTTTCATCCATAAAATAGGACTAAACTAGCTAATGTAGGGACACCCCAAGTGGTAGCTCTGTCTACTGTCTTCAGGTCCTTCAGCCTTCTAGAATCATCTATCCTTTTAATATTAAAAGAAAAAAAATCTGGCAAATATATAATGTTCCCGTTTGTTCAACAAAAAATATGTATTTATACATGATTTTTCTGGTTTCCCTAATCTTGTCATACTCTTCAAACTTTTTATCTTGTGGGTTACCTTTAAAATGAAAATGAGAGAAAAAGTTCAATATCATCTAAACCCGGTTTACTGGAAACAACTTAAATGCCCATCAACCCATGAATGGATCAAGCAATTGTGGTATATGTATACCATGGAATATTACTCAGCCATTAAAAATATGGAGATTTGCATCTTTTACATTTACCTGGGTGGAGTTGAAATACATTCTTCTTAGTAAAGTACCACAAGAATGGAAAAATAAATATCCAATGTACTCCATACTAATATGATATCAATATATAAACAATTACAGGCTCAGAAGAGCAATAAAACACTAATATAGTCCAGTTTGGGGGTAGAGGGAGGTGGGAGGGGGAGGATGTTTGGCAGAAGGAGGGACAGCAGGAGGCAGGATCTCCCCTCATGTGCACACTGTGAGGGTGTATAACATGCCCCCTGGGTGAGGGGCTCTTCTAACAAATGGAACTTTACCCTAGAAGTGAGAACAGTGTAACCTAAAAATTGTACCCTCATATTAATTTGAAAAAATAAAAAAAACTCAAAAAAATATATAATAAAACCAGTTTGCCCCTTCATCTCACGTGAGTTTCACGTGGCACAGCCATCATCCTTCCTCTCCGTGATTCTCAAGTGCATGGACTTGCCCGGTCAACACTTGCACAGATTTCCTATTCCATTGAACTCTCTGGGTGTTCTGGGTCTGTCTTCCCTCCTGGAGAAGTTCTATTCTCTCAGCCCTGTATCCCCTGAAACACAGCATGCTGCGTTCTTCTTTAATTCTCTCCCCTCAAAGTATCCCTAACACCTTGTGTGTCGCAGAATTCGCTGAGGGTTGGAGGGAATGAGATATGAGTGCATCGCAACGTAGCAAACCATTTAAAATGAACATGAGATGTGCATGACCCTGAGCGTCCCTCCGGCACTCCCAGTCCAGCCCTTTCCTGTGGCCGCGCTTCCTCCGTGTTCTTAGGGTTCTTGCCCATATCCCTTTTTCTGACCATCTCCAACCTCTCTGAAAGTCCTTCTTTTGTCTTTCTTGTGGAGACAGGGAAAGGCCATCTCATAGGAGTGTTTATTACTTATTCTTGCTGCCTGGGAATGACTCAAGCACCAGAGCCTGGGAACAAGGACCCAGGATACGGTGTAAGAGAAGGCCCCCACACCTGGAACCTCTTGTAGCCCAGTCAGGCCCTTTGCACTTTTTCCTTCATAGAATTCAGGGAAATACCTTATTTATCACCCTTGGCATTATCACTAGAAGAAAGAGTCTGCAAAAACCACCTGAGCAGTTTCCTGCAGTCAGACCACCTGGGAAGAAACCCAGATGAATGTGAAGAGTGATGACTGGGTGAAGCAGCTTAATCACAAGCCATGTATAATATCACCAGGTCTTTTGAAAAACCTAAGCTTCAAAACTACTAAAAATAGATACAGTAAGATTTTCAGAAGTTTAAATAAAAGCACCCATCTAAATCAAATGGCGACCAGGTTCCCCATCAGGCAGGGTGTTAGACTCCCCAGGGGACAGTTAAATAACCTGATTCCCGGGCTCTGGCCAGACCTACTGGCTTTCAGTCCTGGCCCTCTCAGCTTGTGAACTCCCTAAAAGAATTACATTAAATCAAGTCACCTATTACACTGTTTTATTTAGTATCTAAATTTTTTCATCTTTAGTGAAATCATTGGGAAGAATTTAATTTCTGGCATATTATATAACATTCACACTTAAAAATAAAATTATTACCAGGTGACCCCCGTTCTCAGTGGGTAGGGCACCAGCTACATACAGCAAGGCTGGCGGGTTCAAACACGGCTCAAGCCAGCTAAACAACAATGACAACTGCAAGGCAGTTGAGGCAAGACAATCATTTAAGCCCAGGAGTTTGAGGTTGCTGTGAGTTGTGATGCCACAGCACTCTACCCAGGGTGACAGCTAGAAACTCTGTCTCAAAAAAATAAAAATAAAAATAAAAAATAAAAAATTATTACCATAGTGTCTTAAATGCAGCTAATGGTTTACAAATGCCATATCAAGGTAATAGCCACCACAATCGTTTGTTAAAAATGCATAAAGACCTTCAGAATAATGAGATATTTTACTTTGAGTCTATTTCTCCTTGAGCTTATATTTCCATTCTGTGTCCCTTGAAGAAATTTTGTTGTAGAATGATATACACTTATACTTGTCTTTCATTGATTACCTTATAATATTACGGCTACAAAAATTATATGTAAATTGGCATTTTAATTTTTTAATTTTCCTGTAAATAGGGATCTAAGTGTTAAAAGTCTTGATTGAATTACTGTTAGTATTGGTGAACAGTTTGTCTAAAACTAAATATATTACAAGTGTTCCAGAATGCCAAGATAAAAAGTAAAATTCAACTGGAAATCTCTTAAGGACACTTTTTTGAAAAATTATTATAGTACCAATTCATTATTTAATTAAATACTTAAATTATATAAGTGACTTATTGAAATGAACAAAAATAAACAATGTATTTGAATAAATAATTGTGTAATTAAATATGGCCTTAGTAATTAATTATAATTAGTATTTATGGATCAGATAGGGTTCCTCATCAATTACATGTTTTTATTTTTATTTTTATTTTTTTTGAGACAGAGCCTCAAGCTGTCACCCTGGGTAGAGTGCCATGGCATCACAATTCACAGAAACCTCCAACTTCTGGGCTCAAGCGATTCTCCTGCCTCTGCCTCCCAAGTAGCTGGGACTATAGGCACCCACCACAATGCCTGGCTACTTTGGGTTGCAGCTGTCATTGTTGTTTGGTGGGGCCTGGGCTGGATTTGAACTCACCAGCTCAGGTGTATGTGGCTGGCACCTTAGCCGGTTGAGCCACAGGCACTGAGCCCAATTACATGTTTTTAAAGAAATTTTAAAAGTTTATGATTGACAAATAAGTACACATATTTGTGGGGTACAACACAATTTTCCAACACATGTATAAACTGTAAAGTTATCAAATCAGGGTGATTATACTATATACAAACTCTGAAAAAAATGTTCACCTCTGTAAGTATATGGGAAATGAGGACATTTTCTTTTTCTTTCTTTTTTTTCTTTTTCCAGGGGAGAACACGAATGCAGTCCCTCACTACTATAAATTATGCAGTCGAGTTTCCCACAATTGGGGAAATCACAAGGGTCAGCACATCTGGAGTGCGAGGGATAAGCCTCGCCCTGGGAAAACCACCTTTGTGATCACAGTATCTCCCCTGCCAGGTAAGTATAATGAAGACGTTTTCTTAAGGCAAAGTCACTCAATTCCTTGAATTCCTTGTGAGTTAAAAATCAAAAATTACTGAGGTCCATTACAAAAAGATTCCTGTTCATTATCATAATGGGAAATAAGCTTATTTTGTTCTTGGGCTTTTGAATATGAATTGTATTATTTTTAGTAAAGGAATGCATGAATAAATCAAAGAAAGTGCTATATTTACTATATGAGTAAAGAAAGACAAAGCAGGTGATTCTTGTTCCAAAAGAATCAAAAATTATATTACAATAAATATCAAAAGTCATATAAAATATATCCTCTCCTTTGAGTCAGAACCTTGAAGGACTGCCTCTAAGGGTAAAGGTAGGCTGGAAATCAGTCGGCCCTCACACAGGATGCAACCCAGTTTCATGCTCTTGGGGGCTCCAAACCTTCAATGCATACTTTGAAAATTTCCACTATTATCTTCTACCGTCTAGTGTGCTAAGTACACTCAAAATGATACAGAAAGAAACAAATAAAACTTGTCTTGGGAGAAAGACAATACCATCTCAGGCCTCAAATTGTTTCTATAATTAAAAAAAATAGTATGTTTAGGATGTAATCAAGAATGTCTAGGCACATGAACAAGACAAAACTCTATGAGCAAGAACCAGCAGAAGTAAGAGACAACAGAAGCAGACCCATAGAGACTCCAGATTCAAGTAGATATCAAAGGCTGTAAAACGACTACACTTTGTATGGTCAAAGAGATGAAAGAGAAACTTCAAAATTTTGGCAAAGATCTATAAACTATAAAAGTGACACTTCAGATTTGAAAAACAACCAAATAGAAATTATAAAACTGAAACTACAATGGCCAAAATTAAGAAGTCGATGGACAGGTTTGGCAGCAGATTAGACAATGGAGCAAAGAAATTTGCAAACTAAATGTATACAGGGTGTCCATGTGCACTTGACTACGTTAAACTATTTTAATTTGCACATGAACTTTATGTCCACCCTGCATAAGTGTAAAACGTCCAGCATACAGCATGGAGAGGCAAAAGGTAGAAAATAGAAAAGACAAGGTAAGACAAATGCGACACATTGAAAAGTTCTAATAAATATTCACTCACAGTCACACAGAGACTACCAAGGAGTACTGAACAAAACAAACAAAAGCATAAATCATCATGCCACTGGCAGTATTTTTAAACAGATTAAGAAAACTCCCAGAACTGCAGACTATCACAATTGGTCAAATTTAGAAGTTCCATCAATCACAATTTTTTCTCAAATTCTAGAAGTTTCCAAATGTCACCTCATCATAAGGAGTTACAGACCCATTTCATTTTCTATCTATTATAACAATATGTTCCTTTCCTTCTTTTCACATTCTTTAATCATTTTGTTTATTCATTTGTTTATAGTCTTGTTTGTGCCTTTCTGTCTCAACCTTTTTTTTGAGACAGAGTCTTACTATGTCACTGTTGGTAGCATGCTGTGGCATCACAGCTCACAGTAACCTCAAACTCCTGGACTTAAGTGATTCTCTTGCTTCAGCCTCCCAAGTTGCTGGAACTATAGGCACCTGCCACAACGCCTGGCTATTTTTTTGTTGCAGTTGTCATTGTTATTTAGCAGGCCCAGGCCAGGTTCAAACCCGTCAGCCCAGGTGTATGTGGCCAGCGCCCTAGCCACTGACCTACAAGCACCGAGTATCAACCTTCACGTTTAACCTTCACCGAGGCAGAGACTATGTCTACCTTGTTTTCTGTGTTATTTCTAGATAATATGTAGAGTCTGGCTTCAGAGCTGGTCCTGGGGAGAGGCCAGTATCTGGTGACACCTAGGGTGGGGATGGAAGGACTTCCTCACAGTCATGTACTTGCACCGTGAAAATAATACACCAAAGATTCCAGAGAGGGAAAAGTCACTTATTTCCTAAAAACCTATGAATTGAATTGGTAATAGCCTTCTAATCAACCACACTGGATGATACAAGATAATAAGGCAAATTTAAAAATTCTGAAGCAAAAGAATTTTTATCCTAAAACGACACATCTCCCAGCATTCAAATAGGAGATAAAAAAGAAGTCATGCTTGAAACTTAAAGGACTCAAAGTTTGATCATCTTTAGCTCCTTTCTGAAGGAAATTTGCCATGGGGAGGTGAATAAAAAGGTAGAAAATGGGTGATTAAATAATTATGATATACAATGTAAAATGCTTAATTAATCTGGAATGGAAACCTCAGATGATTTCCATATGGTAAGAGATAGAGAGAAGGGGAAACTAAAAATTGTCTAAGGCTTTTATGTTCTTAGTAGGAAGGTGTGGCTGTGACCTTAGACACTGAGCAAATAATACGTTTAAATGTGTACTGGATTTTTAACAGTAACTATCAGAGCAATAAAAATATGTTTAATTTCTAAGGCATGAATGAAAAAAAGAAACAGAAAAATTAATCCAACAGAAATTGGATATATATCTCCTATATATATATAATTGGATATAAATATACATATTTATATATGTCTACATATATAAATGTACATTCATAAGAATTGTTTTAATGCCTGATATGATATGCACTAAGTATTTTACCTTTGGGGAGGAGAAGGCAATTTAAAGAAGGAAAGGGAATGAGGGGTGGCAGAGGCTGTAATTTTAAGCTCTCTGTATACTTCTTATTTGTTTATTTTTCTTTCTTTTTTTTTTTTTTTTGAAGTTTTTTTTTGGCCAGGGCTGGGTTTGAACTCGCCACGTCCGGCATATGGGGCCAGCGCCCTACTCCTTTGAGCCACAGGCACCACCCTTGTTTGTTTTTCAAATAATTGTGCATTCATTTATTATGTGCATAATTTCTAGGGATCTTTTTAATATTAAAAAATGGAATGAGAACACTTTAGTTTTCTTTTTCTTTCCTTTTTTCCTTTTTGTTTTTATTTAGTAAAATTATTCTGAAGATCCTTTGGCAAAATAATAGGATAGCATGAGAGAATGAGATACCATTTATTGTTTCTCAAATTGGTGAAGATGAAAACAGGTCTAATAATGAATGCAACGGAGGAAAGATGCAGTGGAGATGAGGGAGAAGCCATACGTGGACAGAAACATTTCTAACAAATTTGGCAACATGTATAAGCAATTATTTTACAGATCATTTTACAGGCCCTTTCACTGTGATTCCACACTCTCACAGTCCAGCCTGAGGACATAAAATTAATACTGAGACTACAGATTGAAACAAAAATACTCATCCCGGCAAATATGCTTAATATCAAGAGCTAGAAATACTCTAAATGTAAGTCTTCAGAAATTGTGAGTTTCAGTATACATGTTAATCATGAGCAATTTTTATTGCACATCGATTATAATAAAATAAAAAAGAGATAAATTCTGAAGTAGGTTTTTACAAACTCACAAGATACAGAATTGTACATCTATATCATTGGATTATAATGCCTTAAAAAAGCGTGGAGGTATTGGATCAAAATGGCTGGCTGCTGAGCACTGCTGAATATTTCTGTCTTACAACCAATGTATCTAAAAATGATAGAAAAATAATGTTCTTGCTGTTGGTAAGGTTGAATCCATGAAAACACCATCAAAAGGGGAGCACACTATCATCCAATCAGATAGTTTAAATAATTTTGAAACCAAGAAAGCAGGGAGGACTGAATTGACAGAGGGGACTGTATCCTAATACATGTTCAGGGGAGACAGGTGGAAATGCAGAAGCAGTTCTGGGTGTGCCCCAAACACAGAGGCTGCTGATACAATGAGCAGGCAGGAGCTGTGGGCAGCCGCTGAGGACAACCCAGTCCTGGCGGCCAGACTGGTAGGTTCTTCCCCTCGGCCTTTCTGTGCCAAGAAAGAGGCCCGGAAGGTGGTTTAGCCTCAGGCTGGAACAAAGAGTGTAGCACTTGGGTGGAAGAGGCAGGAAAGCGCCCCAGGGACTTGGCAGCACCCAGAATGCACTGGGAGCCCATAAACCTGGTCTAGGTCGAGCTGTTGGTATTCCCCACTCCCTCCCAGGACCGACTCACCCACAACTGCTAGAGATGAAAAAGAAAGAACATCCATACACAGGCAACAACAGCTTTTTCTTTCTTTCTTTCTTCTCTTTTTTCACATAGAAAAATTTCAAACATATACAAATTAAAGAGAATATCAAGCCACCAGTCCTCACTGCCCAGCTTCCACAGCTACCAGCATCCTGCCATTCTGGTCTTACACATGCTGCCACCACCATCTGTGATTTTCTTCTGGAGTATTTTAGAGCAAATCCCAAATATCGTATTATTTCACTTGTAAATACTTAGTATTCAACACACAAAGGATTTTTTTTAAAAAAACATGATAACATTGTCTCAATATTATGAGTTTGTCAATATCATCTAAGAGGTAGTTGTGGCAGGTTGTACTTTCCAAAATGGTGGCAGAAGCCTCTCCCCTCTTGTGCACAGAGAGCCTGCCACTCCCCCTGCCAGAGGTGAGGTGTGAGGCCCCTCATCTTGACCCTGAGTGGGCTGTAGTCACTTCCCGTAATAACAGAATGCTGAAGTGTTGTCTGACTTTCTTGGTGAGCTCAGGAAGGCCGCCTCACTTCCACCTGGCCCTCTTGGGATGTTTACTCTCGAGAAGTTCCCTCTCAAGGTGGCCCTCCTCAGAATCCAAGCACCATGCTCTCAGAAGCCCAGCCACATGGAGAGCCATGTCCAGTAAGCATGGCCAGCCAAGCCCAGGCATTTGGGTCTTCCCAAATGAGGCTCCTCATTACAGACCAAAGAGGACATCTCCGTGTTCCTGACCCACACAATCTGCAAACATAATAACATGGCCATTATTTTATGCCACTATGTTGTCATGTACTTTGGTTGACATCAGTAAAAATTGGAAACACTAGGTCATATTCAATTTTCCATCATTGTTTCAAAACTTTCTCTTTATGTTTGATCTGTTCAAATTAGGATCCAAGCAAAGGTCATTGCTTTTGGCTGATATTTCTATTAAATCTCTTTTAATC